GGAAGTGCATTTATGTACACCAATACATGACACACAAAGCCAACAAATCGATACAACTGTCTAACATACATCACATACATACCATCTCGATATTGACGTTTCCAACAAACATTCGGTTGCGCGCAAAAGTCGGGGGCGCCGGAGATATGGCTATGAGTTGGGCCACATGCTCAACCGTGTCATCGCTGAATTGGCTGTGGGTGGCTGAGCTCTTCGCCTAGGGCATAGATGTGCAGTGGTCAAGATATCAACGGCACGGCGGGGTATAACGACTGGGGACTGTTTGATAATCTAATAACACGAAGCTTGAGTGCGAGCCTGGATCTACGTGCAGGCGTTAAGTTCACCCACCCTTTCCACATGCCGCTCCCTGCCACCAACTCATAACCCCATACTAGCGTCCGTGCTCGTACCCACTCGCAAAGTTGTACCACATGGACAATCATACCAAAAAAATAAGTCCACGGCACAACTCAGTCTCAATTAGTACCGTACAATACAGTATATGCACTACTTCTACTACAGTCTACCACAACTCCTCCCATCACCCCCACTCACCTTGTCCGCGTGCTTCTCCCGGCCACCGGTCCGTGCGCGTTTCCCTGTGTATGCGGCCTTCTCCTCTTGACGCATGGCTTGTTCACACAGGTGGTTGTGTATATATCGCACGTGGGCGTCGTACACATAGCTCTTGATGTGCAAGGTGTGGTTGAGCATGGCCCGTTCCATGGCAAACTGCTGGTAACACCGTACACGAGTGTCACTCTGCGGCCGGTGACTGCCTGCGCACAAGCGATGAATGGCTGTGTGCAGGGAGTATCGTAGAGAGTACATTACTACTTATAAGGTGATACAATACAAGCATATAATAATACGTTATGGTTGGCAGAGTCGAGTGGTTTGGTCGAGATCAAGACTGAGTGTGGCCCTGATTCTAGTAGGTCAGAATGATTGTAGCAGAATTGAGGTTGACTGGTAACACCTCCCCGCAACTCTCTGAGCGGTCGCCGATGGTGAGCGCACATATCAAAGACGGCTGTGTACGCACAGTACAATAAGGCTGCTAGTATAGCGCGGCGTGGTTAACAGGGCTCAGGCTTATGGTACAGTACAGGTCAAACAGACTGAGTGTAGTGAAATTGTAGTCCATAGTACATCATGCCCGTAGACCTATTCCACGTTATATTAAGCTATTTACAAACACTTCATGCAGTATGTACACAACTCCCAGCGGTGCAAAACGTAAAACCCTGAAACTCGCCAAAGACATACTTCTGGTAGCAGAGATAAAAATCGGCAGAAGTGAGTTTGGGCGAATTGGGGCAAATCAAATTCTAAATTATTTGCGTTTTAAAAATGACATATTAAATGCAACACAAACTATCAATTGGGAAATACCCTGAAAAGCATACCACACCAAGAGCTGACAGTATACAATACACCACAATACATATCATATATAAATATTAAAATTGTACCTATAATGCGTATATTACAATATAACAATACTATAACTACTGATTTAGACAAAGGTCTTATACCTGGAGACGCATCTGGGAGCAGAGCCAAAGGAATGACATCTCTGGCATCCGCCAGGCTCAACCACATGCAGTAAACATCCACAGACACCCAGTCATTCTGCAAAGAATAGGTGTTGAATGTTGAGAGATATCCATATATAAAAATGAAACTATATAAGTGTATGAATATATACATACATACATACATTTAAATATACATATACATATACATATACATATACATATACATATACATATACATATACATATACATATACATGTATAC